TAACTCGGCAAGATACCCCCGGAGGGTCTGTTCCCGAAGGAAGGAAGGATTATCTTGAAACGCGAAAACGCTCTCCGCCGTATCTCCGGCCGAGTTCGAGACGACGAACACGGCCACCGAAGAACCCGCGACCTCGACGACCGAGAGATATCCAAACTATTCACCTACGATCGCGACGTACGACCTACGAGCGAATCTCCATGAACCTCAACATCTCAGGACACCAAGAAGAGGACCCTTTCCACATTTTTCACCGAGATTCTACGATGGCTTCTTCGAGTCTTTTGTTCATACATGCTGCAAGGAGAAATGTAGATTTTTATTTTTGGAAAGGTTCTGTTCCTCTGCATACTCCATGAAATAGTGGTCAACATCGGATCCATCACCAACAAGAAAGAACTCATTCCGTAAGCCCTGGTGAATGAATATCGCACACAACACCATGATTCCATTCGATTCAATCGAGGAGTGGTAGCGTGGATCGTCCCACGATCGAGGATTTAAAAAAACGAAGAGGTCAGATTCCCGAAACTCGAGGATCTCGATGACGAAGGGATGAAGTACCGCGGATAATCCCAAAGAAACCCGACGCCTGCCGCAAACGGCAGTAGTTTTAGTGCGCGCGCGGCGAGGCCGACTAGCTGCGATCTAATCCTATTTTCGTTAGATCCGTTAATGGTTAATGGGAGGCAAAGTGGTCAGCGACCGGAACAAGGCCTAAGTCCGTCTTAAATCCTGTAGGAAGGGAAACCCTTGTAGCCCTTAGCCAAGGACCGTAATCCACGACGTATAACTATTGGCCTCTCGTCGACTTTCCGTCCAACGGAGTCGCGCGATCGTTGCACGTCATCCACTAGATATCCTTCGAGGATCACCTTCGAGGATGTATCTTTGAATGTTTCGATCGATCAACAGGTCACGAGTTACGTTTCTGAAGGAGTAAGAGCTTATACGTACAACTGAAGACTGGATTTAAAAGAGGGTACATTTACATTCTTCGGAGAGCCAATCTCTTTGTTATGTTTCGCAAGTCTTCGGTAGTCTCAATTTAATATAATATTCGGTCCAACTTTGATTTCGAGAATTATGACCAACTCTGGTCCGCATCTTGGACGCAGACAATTCAAGTTCCGTAGCGGACAAGCATGCCCGCGGGAGAGGACAAACTTGCCGGTAGACGAGCGATCGTTACGCGTTTATAATATGCAAGGGTGGAAACAATAGTATCGTCGTTTTGGCCAGAGGCTCTCACCCTCCAGTAGAGGAGGAAACCCTTCCACGGGCAAATAACGCGACGCGCGGGATTAATCGGCTTCCAGCCGTTAGATTTATGAAATTCGCGCGACGGAAACGGAGATGGGACTCTGCTCGACTCGCTGCCACGATCAAGGAACTGGAAACGCTTGGAGAAAAAACCCTCCTCGAGAACGCGTCGTTTAGCCCCCAGAATTCTCGACGAACCATCTCTCTCGGTATCTCGAGGATACCGGAGACGAGCGCGAGCCCTGGGGTTGTAAATTACCGAAATAATCCGCGGGTTAATTCCCACAGGCGGTTTATTACCGCGGCCCTGATCCGTCGAAATTAAATTCGTAAACGACCGAAGAAACGCGCCTGTTTAGATTCGTGTTGGCACTTAGAATCCATTTCCAAGAGGATTCTCACGTTTTAGGTAATATTCCCTGTATACAGTCAGTCCCATAAGTATTCATACAAAATGAACTAAATGAACATATAAATGAGCGAATAAGTAAATGGAAGGAAATAGGGCACAGTTTCGGGTGAAGATAAGGCGACAGCGTTCGATGAGAAGGCGGAACAGGCGCGTGGAAAGCGGTATCGATGATGGACGTCGCGCAGAGGGCAGCGGGGCGCGTAACACGAAAGCTACATTATACTATTCAAACGATTGCGGGCCACGGCGCGCACGGTTAAGTTGACATTGTTGTTTCTGAGGGTGGCCCGGGGCCCTGCGAATATCTTAGCGTCGCGCAGAAGCTATACACACGTACACGTCGTCGTACAAGCCCTCCGGGGATGCGAACGCTACGCTGCCACCGCCGCCTCCCGTCTTCCTGCCACCATATACTAATCAATAACCATGAATCGCTCCGGTAACAGTGGCATGCACGTTCCGTTGCACCGTTATTGTTGCCAGTCCTCGGAGTGCTCGGGCTACCGTGAATATCATTATTGCCGATGATCCTAGACTACCGCGATACCTTGCACCTATATCCGTTGGACAATTTTACTTCCTAAATTAAAAATGAATTCTCGACCGCACACCAGCCACAACGAGTCTTGCGACAGGTGCGATCAGGCGGTATAAACGAACTCCGATCGTTGGGGAAACGACCCCGATCGAAGATAAACCCGAGTCGCGATAAGGGTGAACAACTCGCGGCCGAATCCTGCGTCGATGAAAGAAAACGAGGACAAACGGGCCACTGTATCCGGTCGACTGCGGCCTCGCGAATAACAAGCCGCGCATAATTCACGGTTTATGGAGCGACTCGCGATTAGGGATCGTCTAATTGACGCGGGAATGATGAAACGACGCCGGGACCAGCCCTCCGTTAGGGGCGCGTCGTTTTCTTACGACGCCAGCCACCGGAGCGCTTTTCACCGCGGCTAACATTAATCCCTGAAATTTTAATGGCTACGAGGCCGCGGCCGAATTTCAATAACCTCGCGCCACCCGCCGCGTCTCCCTTCTTTACCACCACCACCACCACCACCACCCCCCCCCGTCCACCCTTGTGGGTAATCGATTCTCGCGACTTCCGGCTCGACGCGATCTTCGTCTCCGTTCTATTTCCACCCTCCGTAACTCAGAGGGGCGCGTAATCTTGCGGGCCTAAAAAAATGGGAAAATTAAAAATTCTTTCAAAGAGACTACTGTCGAACAAAGAGGTTTTAGAGATTTTACATTACCAATAGAGAGTAATCTGCGTTACTGACGAGCCGCTCCATCTTACCAAAGAAGACACATCGTTATTTTCGTGTTGGACCTCGTGTCGACGAACCGCTACCCTTTGGATGGAGCCTGCTAGGGACACCCAGAGCTAACCCAGGGCAGGGTGGAAAGACAACGAGTAAGAGGCGAGTAATCGTTAAACCGAGCCGATTCGAATCGGCCCCAGGGTTGAACGCGCTAGGGCTGACGTTCCGTCGACGACGATCTCTAATAAAGTTCAATTATCTCCGGAAACGTTAGGTACCGAGGGAAAGGTAGCATGCGGAGGACGACGCAACGGGGAGAGGGGAAACGCGTCGGTGCCCCTAACGTCGAGACGAGAGAAAGAGAAACCGGGAGAGATGATAATCTAAACGATCGCAAAGTGGGCTGCAGAAACGCGCCGAAATTGGCAATAACAGGGTGGCGAGGGGCGGGCGCGGGGCCCTGGGGTGGAGACCAGCCAGGAAAGGAGGGGGGCAGCGTAACGTATATACGCGCAACGGCGGGGCTCCGGCGCGAACTTCCTATTCTGGTTAGCATTCAAATTGAATCTTCGTGGCGGCCGGTCGTGAAGAGTTACCGCCGTTAATGGACCTCGCAAACGCTCTCAAATTGCCGGCAGACTGCTGAGACGCGGCCCTACCTAATCTACCGGCTTGATTCTCCGCGCGGCTCATCGCCCTGCCCCCACGATCGCGAATATCGCAGCGTTTTCCAGCTGCCAAGCAGATCCTATCCAGTTCCTCTGTTTCGCCCACCGGTAGCCTTCGAACACGTTTAGATATTAGGTTTCTCCATGTTTAATGTAGACTTTTCTGACGAGTCATTCACACTGTATGTAAAATTTGCTTCGTAAAGCACCTACCTACCTACCTATTGTCGAATAATTTTCATTGACGAATAGAACCTGATTTTGGCTCATTTTAAGGCTCTAGAAAATACGTGACTGTTGCAAAGGGTCGCAAAATACATAATCACTGTCTCGTAAAACAGGCCTTCGTACAGATATCTCTATTGCAACCTGCGAAGTGTCTGCAAATTGGCGTCGATCTAACGAGAGCTTATCAGCCGCCGAGGCTAGCGAGACGCGCGTTACGAGCTACGCGGCTCATTGGGCATCGACGTAATTCGCGAGGCAGACGACCAGAAACCGAGGAGGGTTGCTCCTTCCCATCCCCCTGCTTTCTTTTCTTCCGTTAAACCGAATTAGCCTGCTTGATTTAAAGCCCGGAAACGTTTTACCGGCTGAAAAGCGACTTCTTTCCTTCCATGACGAAGGGCAGCTTCTCCCCCGAGTTTCGAACCAACGAACGTAATCGAGCCGGGTTTCGAGACGTCGATAATTGAGTTGAAGGCATTTCTCGACGCGACCTGTAGTCGTCCGCGAGCCACGAGATCGACTCTGGGACTTGCGTAGGGAAATCTAGACTAGAAAGTTCACGGAGCTACCCTCTATGGCTGAGATTCGAAATGGCTAATTTGGCAGGGTCCCAGGGGGATAGGGGGCTCGTCAAGATGGAGAAAGGCGGCGATAGGTCTCGGGGACAAGCCACGACGGGCTACGTCTCGTTGTAATTCTATTAGAGGTAACTATGCGAGCCCTGGGCCGCCCATCGTCCGTTGAATTTAATCACGGATCCGCCAGACCGTGCGATATCTTGTACCGTCCTTCTGGAAGCTGAACCTAGCGGTAACTTTAAGTGTTCAGAGTTTCTCACTTTCGTGATTTTTAAGAAACAGAATTTCTCTTGTGCTTTATTGGCCTGGAAACGAAGTTAGTTCCAAGTGAACATTCAGAGTACTATCGTAGCATCGACGCTTTCTATAATCAAGAAGATCGAGTCAACGCAATCGCGTTGGAACTCTTAGACTCCTACGCTATAGATTGTGGAGCCACTTGAAACTGTCAGGGTCTCAAATTAATAATTATACACGTTTCTTTCTAGCGAAATAAAAATCTTACAGTTAAAATCTTAATTAAGTTTGACTGTCAATTGAGATGAAACGTCTATTGAAACGATTTGTTTGCTTGTGATTGCAGCCGAGCTGAAGATGGACGTCCTGCGGGAGAGGGAGGTGAAGGACAGCCTCGAGCGGCAGCTCCAGGACGAACAGAAGGTTCGAGGTGAGTACTCGATCTCGACGCATCCCGAGCGTTCGGATGAAATTCCAACGAGCACGGTTTACGGACGCCTGTCCCCTCAGGGGCGGATACTCTTTACGGCCTTTGGGAAAATTGACTCTCCGCGCGAACGAGCGACGCGTCGCGCTCTCGGCGCCGCGCCGTGGCCGGATTCGAGACGCGCGATCCTCGCTCGAGACGAACGGTTAACCCGACGATAAATCAAGGAGCCACGAAGAGACACGCTATAAACCGCGTCTGGTGGACCTTCGAGAGTATCCTATTATTCCTGGTGGGGCTAGCGCCTCTACGAACCTCCAATTCTCTCTTCTAGCTAGAAAAGGTGGATAGGAAAAGATCTAGTGGCCGTAGTTGTAATTATAGCTGAAACAAAGCTTAACAATTGGAAACGGATAGCCATCAGGTCCTTGTAACTTTCTCGATAAATCAAGGAGACGCCATAAACCATCTTCCGCGTCCACTCGAGTATCCTATTACCCTACGACGGAGATCCTCCAGCCAAAGTCTGAATTTCTACCGCTTCCCCTAGCCAGAGACTATTCCAAGCTTGTTTCTCCAACTCTCGATTTTAATGGAAGGGTTGCCCAAGGAAGCAGAGGGCAGGAGAAGGACCCTGCTAAGGTAGCTCTAAGTTTGTATCAAATGTCAGTTGGTAATAGAACGATCGCCTCACGGGCTGCTTCTCTGCGACCACCTACTCGTCGATCCAGCAACACCCACACCCCTTTGTCTGCTCGCGCTTCCTTCTTTTCGGCTCGTCGACGAGACAAACAACGCGATTTCTCCATTGTGCGTCGATCTCGATCTCGACCACGGAGATTCAGTGGTCTAACGAGGTGCGAAATGAATCATCGTCGATTATTTCGAGTTTTATGTGTAAAGGCTCGAGTACCTTGTGATCTTTTTCGATAATTTTGACTCGGCAGGAAGCTTGGTACTCTTAAACGCTACAAAGCAGAACAACAACCACTGTTTTCTATCGATTACCGAGAAAAATCATTGCCACTGCTCGACTGGATCAAAAAGTTTGACAGTCAAAGAGTTGTCTATATCCCGAGTCCAGCGAAGGGTAAAATTTCGAAAACCACGAGTCGTCGCGTCCACGAGCCGTCGACGAATCGATTCGCCGGAGTCGACGGCGAAAGAGAGACGAGCAGAGCGAAGGCAAACGAAGGGGGAAAGGGGAAGGGGCGAGTTGGGGCGGGCAAATTCAATATCACGGATTTTCCCGGCAAAAGATGTCGGCGTCTCGGCTGACGCGAGCACAATGCGAGCCCCGATAAATATGTAAAAGTGGAGAAGACCGACGCGACGGGAGGAATATCCGCGTGCTTCGGGGCGGACGGTCTGGCCAGCGATCGGCTATATTGCCGGTGGAATGAAAAAAAATAACGGTGGCGCGCGCGCGCGCGCCCGTTCAGCGGATTTTTTTCCCTCGTTGGACTCGTTGCGCTCGATTTGCAGGAAAAACGAACCGCGCCTCCGTTTCTATGAGAAAGGAGAGCGCTACACCCTTCGACGAGTTAAAGGTGGGACATAAACCCAACTGTCATCCTCTGACGATAGCTTCATACAGTCGCAGCACCTCCGATTCACTTCGAATTTTCCACTCTGTGTCGTTCCCTTGACCAGCGACGTGCCGTATCGACTGCAGTAGAAAAAAAATGCGGTATCTACGGGAGCGGATTTTTTTTTCTCCCCAGTCGCGCGAAGTCGTCGGCCGCGTGGACTCGTTTCGGTCGATTCGCAGGAAAAACGAGTTGCCGGGCCCCCGCGGTAACACGAGCCTGTGACAACAGCAGTCCATTAGTCAACCAGCTCAGTGTCAATACATGAATATGACAGCCGGTCTCACGGAACAGGCCATCCATCGCTTCGCGCGCGGTTGCCTCGTCTTCGCCCGACCCCGCTTCCACTCCCGTCGCCGCCCATAATGTCAAGCGATATCGCAAATATAGGAAATAGTCTGCCACCCCCTAGGACCATACAAACCTTTATCTTTCTCCGCGAAACTTCGACTACGTCCACCCTCCCGCCCTTGCGTCTTCGGTTTCGGCGCGTGATCGATGCTACCGCGATGGTTTTCGGGTCGACGTTTCTCTCTGGCCAATGGACGACGTAGACGCAACCGTGGACGCGGTTTTTCGAGGATTCGCCGCGAGGCTAGGCGGCGGGGAACCCCGTAAGACGATACCTAATTTACGCGAGGCCTCCTACGGCTCCGACACCGGATGATCGATCATCCCGAGGATATTGACGCACCCGCTCGTCCGAGACCACCGTCTTTCATTCGACTAATGACCGCCGCGTAAATAAAAAGGTGCGCACGGGACGGGCTATCGGGTTATTCCGTAAGTAATGTCGCTTTCGCGCCCGTCTTTAATACATTAAGAACCGCGGCGAGGATGGGAACGGCGGCGAAAGTAAAGAGCGGGTTTAGGGGCACAATGGAAGACTCGTGGAAATTTTCGTACCTACAAGTTATCTGGAAATCGCTCAATTTTTATCGTAGACTGTTCTCCATTGATACTTGAGACAGGATAGTCCAGAGTCTAGAATCGATACATGTTACAAGCTCTAATGTTCTCCTCTAAAAATCCAATTGTATCCTTGGCTCAATCATTCCAAGACGATTCCACGTAAACAATGGCCGCGCTCTTTTCGTCGACACTTAGCAACGTTCCGGTCTACGTGTCTTACGCTTCTGACAGCGCCAGAGGAGGCAATTTGCGCAATAAGGAGGAACTCACGGGGAGGGGGGCAGGAAGAGGCGCGGTGTTATTAGCCCGTTTAAAGCCCCGCTTGGCATTTCGGTAAAGGTTGAAATCTCCGACCCCCCGCCGGCTGGGAGGCCGTATTATCTTAGCAGGGGTTGCAGGAGCAGTAGGCGCCCGATTCTCGGCGTCGCGGGTCGAGGGACGTCTAATGGGACACGCGTTGCTCGCGTCGAACAATCGAATGACCTTTGCACGCTGACAGACGACGTCCATGTTCTTCAGAAACATTAAATTCAAACTTGTCAAAGAAGAAAGTAAGTAAACAATTACAAATATTTAATGTAAATTGAGACTGCCTTTCTGCACCAAACAGATTCTCTTTCTTCGATATTTGCTCCAATTAGATCAACTCCCATACGAGTTTACCATTTTCTACAACACCTTTCCCTATTTGGACGCTTTGCTTTGAGAAGCCAAAAAAGCAACGTTTGTTTTCACGCTCCGCGTGTGCACGAGGAATCCACCTTAGTTTTTGTCCCCGCGAACGATCGACGTTTCCCACGTTGTCCCCGTTGTTTACGTTAACCGGATTTCGAAAGTCGTTAATCGAGGTCTCGGTTTTTCCACCGGGATAACGTCGTCATCGTCCGTGGCGGGGGTTAGGCGAGCGTCGTCGTCGAGCGGATTGGCCGACGAAGCTAGGATAACAAATAGAACGCGGAACAACCGCGCGTTCTGGATTCGATCCGTAGCCGGAAACTCTGGACGGCTTCTCCGTCGATTCAGCGACCCGACGACGGCGTTTTCTCCAACAAAAAGCTCTCGTAAACCTCGAGCGCGAGGATCGAGGCGCGCACGGACCACTTTGGGAACCGACAGCTGCCTCCGTTGACGCTTTACAGGGAACTTGCGGCCTCCTTGTAATTAGCCGAACCTTTTGTCGCTCCGGACAGAAACACCCCTTTCGCTCTGGAACCCACCCCCGCGTCCCTTCGGCTTCTTTCGAGACCTTTGACACCTGCGTCGCTCTCCACGAACCGTCGCTTGGAAACCCAAGGTGTGGACATTTGACAAAAAACTGACGCGTCTTCGTTTACCTCTCGAGAATCAAAGAATATTCCAGCGAGAGGAAGTTTAGAATATCCATTTGTTTAGGGAAGGGATGGGGAAAATTGGAAGAACACGAATTGGCGAAAAGAAGCTTGAAACTCAAAACCTCGAAGCGACACATTAAAAAGAAGCCTCCAGAAAACGTTTAAAATCGACGAAATCGGTAAAACAAACTAGAGGGGTAAAAATTGTTTGGTAAATTGGCTCACTGGGGGTGCAGCGATCGAGGCTCCTGCAAGAAAGGGCGAGAAGTAAATACGGGGAAAAAGTGTCGCCGACAGAGACGACAAACGGAATTGAAACTGTACAATCAACGGGACGAGATTTATACGCGACGCTCCTCGCCCCTTGAATTAGCTGGTCCGTAATGCCAGGATCGGGTGTCGGTGTAATTGGGACCCGAGGGACTCCGGCGTTTCCAACCCCACGACTCGACCACGCCGAATCGTCACGCCGCGCCGCGCCATACCCGAGTTTTCGCAGCTATTCCCGAACAGTGTCGCTATCTCCTGCAGCCGAGAAATCGTTTCGTTGATGACAGAGCGCCTATGGCGGCTTGTCGCGAGTACGAAAGCTCCGATGATAACCCTCCCCACGACAGATGACCCCTTCAACGCTCACGTAGACTATTCCAGCCATGTAATGTATGTACAATGTGCTTATTCGTTGTTAAATTTCCGTACAGAGTAGTATAAGATATCAAGATGCTGCCGGGTATGGTTCTTCCTGTAGCTTGAACGGGGTTAAAAATGATCGAGAGTAAAATGTCATTCTGCGACATTATTCTCGCCCTCGTGTCAGCAATGACAATAAATATTGTTCCTAGTCAGCCCTCGCACCCGTGTGGGAGTATTTAATTTCACTTACACGGGTCGGAAGGGTTAACAAACACGAGATCGTCCGCGCCTAGGAATCCACCAATAACGAACCTCGCTAATAGATAACCGTTGTGTTACCAACGTAATACACGGCTGGCAAACAAGACGATAAGGTCTGCGCGTTATAAGATCCTTGACACGATATTGCGTCAGCGATATTACCCCGCAATTACCAACGATGGATCCGCGTTCAGATAAAAAAGCTCGTCGACGCCGTGTGCCCGGTGAGGTGTCCACCGCGACCAGCACGCAAAGGAACCCGTCCGCAATTCCGATG